ACCCGGAGCGACCTCGAACGTCGCTCCAGGAGGTCGCTCTGGCTGGGAGCGACCTATGGACGTCGCTCCGAGACGTCGCTCCAGGGGCTGTTTTGGCTTCCGAAATTGATAAAAACGCGAGCGACCTAGGTGCCTCGCTCCGGGAGGTCGCTCTGGCTGGGAGCGACCTTGGCAGGTCGCTCTGGCAGGTCGCTCTGGCAGGTCGCTCTGGCTGGGAGCGACCTTGGTAGGTCGCTCTGGCAGGTCGCTCCAGGATACTCGAACAGGGTGGATATGCCTCTAGTAAATTGGTCATAATTCCTTCATTACATCTTCAAATGACTTGAAACCACTTCCATTAGAAAGTTAACTTAATTTTCTGTGTCTCCACAAAATCTTAGCAACAGAAGATTTCTCTAAAGGCTCCATCCATGCTCATCTTTCACCCCCTTTTTGATCTCAAATCCACTCAATCACCTCCAAGAACTCCAAGGATACTCCATTACCTAAAAAGGACTCATGTATGCAAAATGAAACCTAGAATTGACTAAATCCTAGTCTATATGATCAAAATGCACATGGATGAATGGATAATACATTGGAAATATGCAAGACATCAGTACTAGAACTGACTCCAATGTTTGGACTGAGAACTGGATTATTGACATTATTCCAAAGCCACCAATGTATCGTGAAAACAGTTCTGTAAATTTAGCACTTAGAGTTTCGGATTTGCTAAGACCAGGGTCTAACCAATGGGACGTTAATCTGCTACAACAGACTTTTACGCCTCAGGATACGGAAAGGATAATACTTTTGAAACCATCATTGGTAGGTGACGACTCTATCAGATGGGGTTTTACACCAAATGGTGCATATACGAAGCGAAGTGGATATAAATTGTTAGAGGCTTTGGTGGATTACGATCACCCTCACAAGCAATCGCTCACCCCTATTGAAAAGAAATTATGGCGGGATTTATGGAAAACAAAAGCTCCATAAAAAATAAAGCATTTTATGTGGCGGGCGTAATCAGGTGCGTTAGCGGTTAAGCAACGTTTGACTACTCGGGGTATTCCGATCGATCCAACCTGTCCAGTTTGTGGAAATGAGGATGAGACTATCTGTCATGTTTTATTCACATGTGTTAAAGCACGTGAGATATGGGATCAAGCTAATGTCCAAGTTCTTTTAGGAGGTTTCTCTAGGAATTCTACATTCTTAAATTTTGTCCATTTACTCAAAATTGCAAGGAGCGCTTCTTTGGATATCCATACACAAAAAGTTTTTCCATGGTTGCTATGGGAAATATGAAAAGCTCGGAACTCTTTTGTTTTTAAGAATAAGGTTTTAGAGTCGTCTTTTATTGCTAGGAGGGCATATGAAGAAGAACTAACATGGTACGATACATTCACGGGATCGACAGACCAAGTGGATGATATGGTCATAGATAAGGTTCGATGGAGGAAACCCCCTAATGGATCCCTAAAATGTAATGTGGGATCTTCATGGATAGACTCAAATCAGCCGAGTGGTGCATCATGGATTCTTCGCGACGAAAAACGGAGGCACGCTCATGCATAGCCGTCGGGCTTATTCCTACATGCGCACAAAGATCGAAGCCGACCTGTGGGCTCTTTTTTGGGCAGTGGAATGTTTGCACAATCTACACTTCTCAAACATTATTTTGGAGACTTCATCGGAGTGCTTACATAACGCTATGACAAATCCAACTGCACACCTTAGCCTCAGCCACATCCGTCACAGCATTCTCTAGCTTCTATCAGGAATAGATTCATGGAGTATCGATCATACTCTTCCGGAGCGTAATGAAGCGGCAACGGCCATTGCTTTCAGCGTCATTTGAGATAGGCGCCATCAGTCGTACATCGCTCGGAATGCTCCATCATGGCTATTTCACCTTCTAGTTTTGGAGGCTAAATGAGTAAGGGTGTTGGTAAATCCTGCTTCTCTTTTCTTATGTTGTTATGGTGTCTACTGACATCTCATTTTCCTGTTTTTTACTCTCTCACATTTGTTTGTCCTCAGAGAAGAATAGTTTAGTCCATACAACCAAACACCAGCGTAAACCCTACTAAAATTTTCAAATTTTTTTCCCCTCTTCCATTTCCAGAACTATCTCTCGTTGGCTCCGTCTAGAGTTTCCCCTTTTCTCTCGTACGTAACACTCTTATATCAGATCTCACTCTCATATCGAATCTCAATCTCTCATCCACTCACAAAAATGGCGGCCGCATCGAGGCCCCGCGCATCAAAATCCGAATCCTTCGTAGACAACAAACGCAAAGAAGACATCCGATCAGCCAACATAAACGTCGGCCGCGCCGTCGCCGACGCCGTCCGCACGAGCCTCGGAGATGGTCTCCACCGCTAGCGGCGAGGTCATCATCACCAACGACGGAGCCACGATCCTCAACAAAATGGACCTCCTCCAACCCGCAGCCAAAATGATCGTCGAGCTCTCCAAATCTAAAGACTCCGCCGCCGGAGACGGCACCACAACCGTCTGTCGTACTCGCCGGCGCCTTCCTGAAATTTTGCCAATTCTTATTAGCGTCCGGGATCCACCCTACGGTGATCTCCGACGCGTTGCACAAGTCGTGTGAGAAGTCTGTTAATATCTTAACCGCCATGTGGGTACCTGTAGAGTTAACTGACAGAGAATCTCTCATTAAATCGGCTAGCAAATAGTAAGGTTGTTAGTCAGTACTCTACATTGCTTTCCCCGTTAGCGGTTGATGCGGTTTTATCCGTTATTGATCCGGAGAAGCCCGAGGTAGTTTGATTTGCGTGATATCAAGATTGTGAAGAAGATTGGAGGGACTGTCGACGATACGCATACGGTTAACGGTTTGGTTTTTGATAAGAAAGTGAGTCATGCTGCTGGTGGACCCACGAGGATGGGGAATGCTAAGATCGCTGTGATTCAGTTCCAGATCTCGCCTCCGAAGACGGATATCGAGCAGAGTATTGTTGTTTCTGATTATGCTCAGATGGATAGGATCTTGAAAGAAGAGAGGAATTATATATATCTTGGGGATGATTAAGAAGATTAAAGCCACGGGGTGTAATGTTTTGTTGATTCAGAAGAGTATTTTGAGAGATGCTGTGACTGATTTGTCTCTTCATTATTTGGCTAAGGCTAAGATTATGGTGGTTAAGGATGTTGAGAGGGATGAGATTGAGTTTGTTACGAAGACGTTGAATTGTTTGCCGATTGCTAATATTGAGCATTTTAGGGGTGAGAAGCTTGGTTTTGCTGAGCTTATTGAGGAAGCTTCGCTTGGAGATGGGAAGGTTTTGAAGATCACTGGGATTAAGGATATGGGGAGGACTACCTCTGTTCTTGTCCGTGGTTCGAACCAGCTTGTTTTAGATGAAGCTGAGAGGAGTCTACACGATGCTTTGTGTGTTGTGAGGTGTTTGGTGAGTAAGAGGTTTTTGATTTGCAGGAGGTGGTGCGCCTGAGATTGAGCTTTCGAGGCAGCTAGGTGCTTGGGCTAAGGTGCTACTTGGGATGGAAGGTTACTGTGTGAAGTCTTTCGCTGAAGCTCTGGAGGTTATTCCTTACACGTTGGCTGAGAATGCGGGTTTGAATGCTATTGCGATTGTGACTGAACTCAGGAACAAGCATGCTCAAGGGGAGATTAACTCTGGGATCAATGTGAGGAAAGGGCAGATCACTAACATCTTGGAGGAGAATGTTGTGCAGCCTCTGCTTGTGAGCACTAGTGCAATCACTCTTGCCACTGAGTGCGGAAGGATGATTTTGAAGATCGATGACATCGTTACTGTGAGGTAGTGTGGTAGTTTCATTCAATAACGGTTCTCTTGCTCTATTTTTTAAGCTTTGTTTTTTTCTTGGTGTTTTTTTTCGCAATGGTTTTTGAACTTAGACCCCCTATTCTTTCACCATGTGCTATTTTGCAGCTAAGTGGTTTTCTTTGTGATTTAGTGCTGACTTTTATTTCTTTCTTTCTAGTGACTCGAAATCAAGATTTATTATTTTTTTTGTTTAATATGGTGATAATGTTTTAGTTATATTTTCGAAATGGTAGAAGTAGAATCATAACTTCAATTGCTGTGATTAATATTTGATTATGAGCCACAGTGGGTAATCATAGACTGGGTCACAAATGTTACGGATGCGTTGTATTAAAAATTAAGACTGTAGACAGTTGCATGAACATTAGTTTCTCCAGCACATTGGTCTATCAACAACCAGACCAAATCAGCACATTGTCTCAAGTTGACTAAATTATAGTTTTTTTTTTTTTAATTTATTCATACATTTATTGCAACCCAATTTTGATTGCAACTTTAAAGTAAACAACTAGAATATGCATTGTATGAGAGACCCACTATGTGTTTGGCCAAGTTCATGTGTGTGTATGTACAGAGAAATACTGCGTTGTGGTTACACTTGAGATTCATCATTACCATTCTTGTGTTGTGCTTCAAGAAGATGTTTGGTCAGAGACTCTGGATCTTGTTCACTAGTCTCTTCAAGCACCTGTCTTCTTTCTTCGTTTTTGCCCCAAAGAACTAAGTAGAGTCCCAGCATTATGAACACTGCACCAACAATCCTGTAAAGGGGGAGATTGAATAAGAACGTGAAAACCGAAATGAACAAAATTTCGCTTTCAAAGTGTTACCTTCCAGAGTACAACTGATCACCAAGAACGATAAACGCCATTGCAGCAACAAGAAGTGTCTGTAGAGGCTGGAAGACTGCGACAAAGACAGGACCACCTTTGTAGATACACCAAGTTTGAAGATAAACCACCAACCCTGATGCTATTATTCCCTGTAACCTCGACCAACAGATGCTTCAATAAGCTAACTTCATCGATTCTGATCAAGGAAAAGGAAGAGAGGGAGAGAGCTTACAGCATATAGGATGGTGAAGAGTTCTTCCCAAGAGACAATGATCCAGTTATTGACATCAGTTTCAACAAACAGAGCAATGACTAGAAACTGAACCAGACCGAAGAAACATGTGAACGATGTTAAAGTAAGCTTTGCTGGGTACTTCTTTAGGACAGGAGCTTGAAGAACCATCCAACCAGCCCATGACAGACAATGCCCCATTAGGTATAACCATCCAAGTGACCAGTTGTGCGATGAGTTAGATTCTATCTTTTCCTCTTCGTGCATGTTATGGCTCTTGTGAAAGATCGGAAAGCCTCTGTACAGTGTGATCACTGTGGCTCCACCGATGCTCACTAGGGTTCCCAATACTTTGGCCACACCATGTTTCCTTACCAAGTCTATGTGCTCTAACCTTGACACACATATAGACAGATCAATGTAAGACTCAGAGAAGAACATGATGTGAACGATATATTTTCATGAAAGAGCTTGTTAGGTAGGTACCTTAGGGCACAAGCCATGATAAAAGTGATGGCGGGAACAGAGTTTTGCATTGCGGAAGCAAACGTTGGAGTTGCATAGTACAGTCCTAACAGATAGAATCCTTGGTTTGCTGTGATTCTGATGTTAAATACACACAAAAGTTTCAGAACTGTAAGCACCTATTTTAGGTTAAGGAATCAATTGGTGTGGTCTTGTTTTGTTATGCTTACCCAATGAGTGCCAAGAGGAAAAACTGAACCAGTAAAGAGATGGTGAGTGGAGGCCTTTCCTTTCTGTTGAAACAAATGCATTGTTAAGAACATTAATGGCCAAAAAAAACTAAACATTTATATTCTGGGATCTTATCATGCAACAATGCACTAAAGATGCAAAATTTATGAAACTACCCAATAAACCCAAATGAGATCAAAGAAGTAAAGTTTCTGTAAGTTGCATAAAAATCTCAGCTGAGATTAAAGGTTCAAACTTTCTGAAGTTACACAATAAACCCATATGAGAAACAAACACACTTTTTTTTATTCTAGCAAACCCTAGAACTCTGGAGATGATGAAAGGACTTACTTTTCGAGGAAGTAAGCGAAGGGACCTATAAGGAGAAGGGCAAGAAGATTCCTGTAAACAGGGTACACAACTTTGCTGACACCAATGTTAAGAGCAACTCTTGAGACAATGTGGAAGCCTGCAAAACAAAACTGAAGTGTGATCAATGCCACCACAAGCTTCATCTTCTCTGACACTACTTGTTTCCCCATTTTACTTCCTTTTTCTTTTTTTGAGCTCTTTTCTTTTTGACGTTTGCCTGTATCAAAGGTTGCCTTTTATATGAATGTGTGTCGTGGTAGACTTGAGAATTACATAAGAAAAGAATTATTATTGATTTTGAACAAAAAAAAAAAGAATTATTACTGATTATAATAAATAAATAAATAAATAGTAAGTTTATTGGATTTAGAGGTAACACAGGATGGTACATCATTACTTCAAGTGGGACACTTTATTTATTGGTAATCAATGATTATGAATAATGATTATTTAATTTTTTAATTGATTATATAATAATGCGATTTGGAGGTTGAATGTTTATGTGACTTAGATATGTATATTGATAGTAGTTCCACTCACATTTAATGTGATTAACAAAAATTCTGTTTTCTGTGTTCTACAATTCCGAAATATACTAATTTCGATTATGATACGACAGTAACAATGTTACAACTCTCCTTAACTATGAGTTACAAATTCAGACATGAGCATTTAGTTATCCTTTAATATTTCGGGGTTTGTCCAAAAAATCAAATCATGAGAAGAATAGTATGAGATAGTGAAGGGAATCTTGTTTTCTTACGCATTCATGTGTGTACATTTCTGTTATAGTTAATTATCTTTTCTAATAATGCCTTTATGGAATCAGATTAGCATGTGACCTAACCTCACAATTAGGCATCTTGTCTTGAATGTGGAAAACCATCAATAATCAATCCCATTTTAAATGAACAATAAGTTTACCAATAAATAAATATTCAAAGAGTAACCACCGTTTATTCAGTTAACTTGTTCTTATTCATGTCATTAGATTCTAAAAAACGGCTGCAACCAAATGTACCAATAATAAGCTTCAATATAAAAACTATGATCACTTCACATTGTTCCCATATATATACGTTGAATATAACGTTCACTAATTTCCACCGTTTATTCAGTTAACTTGTTCTTAATCATGTCGTTAGATTCTAAATAAACGGCTGCAACCAAATGTACCATTAATAAGCTTCAATATAAAAACTATTATCACTTCATATTGTTCCCATATGTATACGTTGAATATAGTGTTCACTAATTTCCAATGTGACAACTGACAAGTAACTATTCTGTTATATAAATATTGTTTTTATAAAAATAATTGAAGTAACTTGTACTCTGTACTTCTTTTTTTTCTTAGTGGGACACATGCAAGATTCTCTCCATATTTTTCAGCTCATGACATGAAAACCTATTGATACATAAAAACAAAACAATCATCAGATCATCAAAGATCAACGACAAACGGGCAAACACAGAGATATCAAATCCTTCTTTTTTTTGTTGTTTAAAGAACAATCAATAAAATCACATAGAATCAGTATTGAATGAAGATAACTTGTGTGTTCATTTAAAACAGGATAGAAGGATCAACCGAATCAGTATATGATCATATAAACACGACAACCGGGTTTGGTGAGCAAATGAGTATCATTAATAAACAGATTCACTAGGCTTCAATGAACAACCTAAAGTCAACTAAGTAATTTGGTGGTACCGTTTCACAGCCAATTTCGATTTGTCTTGCCATGAAATAAGCAGACAAAAGCAGAACACATTCAAATCTTTCTTTCTCTCTTCCATTATTTAGTGCAACGTGCAAAACTAACTTTCTGGCTCAAGTAAGAAGAGCATAGTTCATTGTGGCTCTAGCCATCAAGGCCACTCACTGTTAACGAGTTAAATCAAATATGGAGCTTTTAGAGAGCAGCAACACCAAATAGTATTAGATAACACTAATTCTTACCAAAAAAAATGAAAACGATAAAACTCCTGGTGGTATACATGAAGTTTTGGAGACTAGATTTCATGTACATATAATTATCAAAGAGTGAAGAAAAGATGAAACAACAAGCCATATTTACCTCAAATGATTTCAAGTTTTAAATCACCTAGCAACAAGAGCAACTCTTACAAGTTCTAAAGTCAATACTAGTTACTGCTTAATAATATCTTACTAGCTGTTTCTTCAAGCCTGCCTTGCAAGCACAAAAAGAAAGAGCATACCGGCAACCTACTCTTATGGGCCCAAATAAAAGCCCAATAAAGTTAATTTTGGGCCTAAATCTTTTTTATTTTAAAACAAAAAAGAAATTCCGACCAAACTAGACACGTCTTGTGTTTTGATTAAGACTGGTAATAACAGAGACAGAGATGACGAAGATCCCACAAAGACTTTTGAGCTGTTTGTTACTCGTAATTAACACGTGTGAATCCTGTCCCTTTCCATCTTCGCACGCTGGCTTACTTTCCAGACATCGATCCTTGTCTTTTTCTCCGATCACGCAACCATACTAATCTCAAGTATCTCTGCGGCGGCGGAGTAATCATGTGGAAGGAAGAATGGTTAGATGCAGTACTTGTCCCGGCGGGTCTCGCCGTGATGGTCGCCTACCATCTTTGGCTCGGCTACGCCATAATCCACCGTCCTAAGCTCACTGTTATTTCCCTCAACGCTGAATCTCGAAGACAATGGGTCTTCTCTATGATGACCGTACGTTTCTTTCTCCCTTCTTGGTATAATACTTCTAGATTAGGGTTTATGCTGTTTCATTGGTGGGATCTTGGACTCTGGAATTGAGATTAGGGTTTCTGCTGTTTCATTCATCACTGAGCAAAATTTAGCAGTGTTTATAAGTGAAGATTTTACCTTTAGCAGTGTTTATAAGCAAAGTTTAGCAGTGTTTATAAGTAAAGATTTTACCTTTAGCAAAAAAAGAAAAGAAAAGAAAAAGAATTTACCTTTCTGTTAAGTGGTGTGATCTTGATTAGTAAAATTCATTTTTAGTCAAGATTCAATTTTTTTTTTTTTTTAATTTTTTGTCAAGATTTAATTTTTATCATTGTTATTTTGTGAGCAGGAGCCGTTAAAAAACGGGACTTTAGCAGTACAGACAATAAGAAACAACATAATGGCATCAACACTTTTAGCCACAACAGCAATCACTCTCTGTTCCATCATCGGCGTCTTTGTAAGCAACACCTCTTCAGCTTCCAAAACCACTGCTTCACCTATCATATACGGAAACAAAAGCCCTCTTCTTGCAACCATCAAGAACTTCGCGATCCTCGTCTGTTTCCTCATGGCCTTTCTCTGTAACGTACAGTCCATCAGGTACTACGCTCATGTGAGTTTCCTCATCACGGTTCCTGTCTCGAGAGGTAAAAGAGAGCATTGTGAGTACGTTTCTAGGAACTTGAATAGAGCTAGCTACTTCTGGTCTCTTGGACTGAGAGCTTTCTACTTCTCCTTCCCGCTCTTTTTATGGAACTTTGGTCCTATCCCTATGTTTGTGTGTTGCTGTATGATGTCCTCGATTCTTTATTTCTTGGACACGACTACTAGCTTCACGAGGCATCTACATAGCGAGTCGTTTAGAGAGATAGCTGAGTCTATGGACGGTGAAATCGAATCAGCTGTTCATGCTCTGTAGCTTTTTTCTGGTGTGGATGTTCGTTGACTTTCAAGAGTTGTAATATTAACGGAGTGTCTTTGAACTGTGATGGAACAACCTTGGCTGCGTCTGACAACGCAAATAAACTGTCAAAATAACATGTTCTGTAGAATGTACACTATGTAATCTCTTGCACATTGTTGTCAGTGTATTTCTTCTTAACTGAAAGTAATGGTTTGGTTCGTATATTTCCTTGTGTTTTCTAGTTATTAGTTAGCTTCTGTAAATTACTTTCTTGGTTAACTCATTGCCTTGACTAATTAAAATCTTCTGAACCGAAGTTACATACACTACAAAATTGAACTTAGAAAACCTGAATAAGAAAAACATGTTTGACAGCGTCTTCCTGAAATCCATGTCAATAAAACTTCTTGAAATCCCTGCCAAATTAATCAAAGAAAGTATAAGAAAAAGTTGGCAGTCAGAAATTTCACAATGCTATTTTTTTTTTTGCCAAATATGTTTCAAATGAAATGGCAAAGAAATACTAGAGAGGCCTTGTATATAAAGCTGTTAAAAGCAAATTATTATCCAAGTGTCTGCAAAAAGATTTTTTAGAAAACAAATCTCCTAAACATTTTTTGTTTTTGTCACTGAGAGAAAAAGTGAGCCCAAAATAATGGCTTGATGCTTTACAAAGAGAAAAAAACTTCAAGAGTTTTTTTTTGCTAAATCATTGGCAATTAAATTTTCGGATCTAGAAATATGATAGAAGAAATTGTTACAAAACCAGAGAAAATGGATCGGATGTTTTTTCACAATTCCGATGATTTCTTTTGACTGGAGGTTGCCAAAGATAGCTCCGATAAGCGTTAAAATGTCGAAGAGAATCTTGAGGGTAGAGAATTTTAAGGTTAGCGCCATGCAAGGTGCTGATCGAATCGCGATGGTCTCTGCAATAAAGGTTAAGCTGATGAAGTTATCTAAAAACTGAAGTCCTAACTGACATAATTTGACACTGATAATCATGAACGGTGGTTCAGAAGCTACATATAAAAAGCTTTGAAACTGGGCTATGTGAACCTGTGAAAACAGATGTGAGAAGCTCTCAAAGCCAGAATTTGGACCAGGTTCACTAAAATCAGCACAATGACCTCTTTGGTGACATGTTTGACGATGGAATACAGAAGAGGGCAACGTGATGCAGACAACTTCATCTTTCTACAATCACGTATGATGAGGTTTAGTGACGGAGCAAATGTTCTAATCAGGCCAATCCTTCGAACTTTGACATTAACGTGACAAGACCAACGAGTTGTAATCAAACTAAATTTGAGCAACCAGTCATGGCCCTTACTAAAATAAATTTTGATGATTAAAATAGCCCATAAATAAAACTGTCCAAAATAAATTCCATTAACAAGCAAAAAGATTAAGTTTACCATTAATGAATTATACATTTAATTTACATATATATTTCAGAATATGTATTTTAAAATTTGTTATGTTAAGCTTTATACGTTAATCTTAAATTCTAGACTCAGAACCCTATGTTTCCAAAAAAGATTCTAGCCCTAGTACTCAACTCATACATCTAACCATAAATAACCAAACTTTAATTCTAGACTAACTAATTCAAGGGTATAAGTGATTTTAAACTTTTTATAGAAAGCTATTTTGTTTTTTTCCCTTATAAACCATTTTCGTGACAAATTTTTCTTTTGGAATATTATAGATTATTTCGCAAAAAAAAAAGAAAAACAAATTAAAGTTAGCCTAAAATAACAGAACTCTAAAGCTATAAAGCTATATTTTTATGACAAAAAAAAAACTAAAGCTATAAACAGGAGATCAAGAAATAAGCTTTTAGACTCCATTTGACCAAAGAAACTGAACTGCAGCCTGCGAATAGTTGTTTAGTCAATGCAAGTTAATATATTTATGAAAGGGTGATTGTGGCTAAGTGGTAAGGAGGAAATGTCAAGTCACCTAACACGGATATGAATCCATACTTTCGAGTCCATTTGAATACTTAGAGAGAAGATCTATCCGTGAGCTGTACTTTTCTTGGAAATTAGTTTGGACTTATCCATGGACCTGAGATATCTCCAGATTAATCCAAAAAAAAATTAATATATTTATATGCTCAATTAAAGTACCGAATTTTACAAACACACTGAATATACAATTAGTATTGCATGTTAAGATTTGATAGAAAACAATTACAATTCGTCTATGCACATATTAAGATATGATAGAAAACAATTACAACCAAAACAATCCTTAACTGAGAAGTAGTGTCAAGATACTAGTGTTTACTGATAAAGAAAAAACACTTAAGTATATGTGAGATGCATGCACCCATGTAATGTTTTTCTTTCACTCATGCAATGTTAGTATTATGCATATATGTGAATGTATAATGTATATGTGTAATCTGTGTGCGTATATTAGGTAAGAGAGAGGAGTTGACAAAGAAAAAAAAAGGTAAGAGAGAGGAATAAATAATGGTATTGACAGAAGTATAGAGAGCACAAAAGAGTAGAGATGCAGGCTTTTTTCTCTCTTTCTTGATTTTCTTTATATCCACTTGCAGTGTGATGATATATATGTATGTACTTGCATGTCATCCTTAGTGCTCTCTATCTTCTGTCAACAACCTGCATCACTCTCAGACCTGTGTGTGAATGTATATATGCAGAATCATAATGTATAAGTCTATATGCATGAATATGTGTAAGCGTATGGAGTGTGTGAAGTGAGTGACAAAGGGGTAATGGAAACTGGTGTATGTATATATAGGAGAAAGCTAAAAGAGCTCCTCTACCACATAATGTACCAAAACGTTGACTCTTTCTACACCTACATTAATCTCCTTGGACCCTCCACACATAAATATATACAAAGAGCCGATACACGACATAAATCACAAGAGAAGTTATTCCGATTAAAGATTTCAAAATGATATAAGAGAAGTTGGAAATGATATTGACTTGGAAAGGAACATAAGATTTTTTTTTGTTATGCATCTATAGTGTATATATAATTGGATCCATTCACTATAATTTATGATTTAGGGTTTTGTATTCGAATACTATTTTTTACAATATTCGTCATACAGTGGATAGAAACGAATTGTTTTTGTATCTGCGCCTCTTATTGAGATAATGACATGAGTTAGAGATAATGATAAAGCATATATTATGTTGTAATCTTATATTTGGGCTTATCCTATTACCATTAGGTTTAGGTATCAATTCTCTTGTATATAAACAGCTGAGCTGCTATGTTAATAAGATAACACATTACAATCCATTACATGGTATTAGAGCGATAAGATCCTTTGACCTAATTTACTACAACTACTACTACTATACCAATTGGTGAGAAACATCCCATATCGGAAGTATAAGAATTAAACTACTACTATATAAAGGGTTAGGGCCAATCCACTTATCACCAATTGGTTTTAAGTTGGAAGCCCATAATAAACCTGAATCTAGCTTAACACCTCTAACGATGCCAAAATCATGCTAGAAACACTAGCCAATCAATGTGGTAATCCTGTAACATGTGAGATGTGGAGGAGATACTTTTGACTTCACAGTTTGGCTATGGCTGGCAAAAACCCTACCCACCAACCAACCGTACGTCCTCAATGTGAGAGGTGGATAGGGTCGCAATACTGATTTAACTTGTCCAACAAACTCTAGGACAACAAAGATCAACCGACAAAACCAAAAATAGTAACTTTTTGAAATAGTTATATAGTGACTATACTGGCTAAGCATTCATACATATTAATGATCGTAAATCTCTGAACAGATTTTAGATGATCATAAATGTTTTTTATTTTATCTTTTAAGTTTGTTAAAACGCTTTTTAATTATTTTTTTTAAGGTAGAACAGAACCTAGTGTGGGATATACTATAATATTTAGATCTGGCTTAAATCCTACTATACATTTGTTTCCAAATTCAAGGCCAAATTTCACAATCTCCTTGGACCTCGTCCAGTTGATAAATCTTATTCCCGCAGCTGCTGAGACTCAAAGTAGAGATAACTCCATTTAAACTAAGATATAAACTTTTACATATATATGGTTTCGTTAGCTAACAAAATTCGACATTTGTTTTGTTTTGTAATTTTCTTAGATTATAACTACTTTTTCTATTAAACTTGTGACATCCATACATCCTAAAGCGTCATTTTACATACATAACATGGAACTTGAAAAAAACTGGCACCACTGAAACAATGACCCTGCAACCGAAAGAGTTATAAGTAATTGACATTACTTGACTAAATATATACTATTTGAAATGTAATTTGTCTTAAGTATATTTTTAAATCTTGTAGTCATTTTACCAAACATATACAGTATTTGATAGGGATAATTAAAGGTTATTTTTATTTTAGCAAAGACCCCTATATAAATATTTTTTTCTTAAAGAATACCAATTGAACTCCAATATTGGCTCATGATAAAAGACACATTGTCTTGGAACATGACCTTGTCTCAAAGACTAGTTCAGATGTCAAACATATCAATGGAGAACCGGAATAATTGCCGAATGTAAACCGGCGTTTTCAAAAAATTGAAAGGCGACAATGACAGATCACCAAAGTAGGGACTATGGCATTAAGAAGGGAATCAAAAATAATGGTTGGCTAGTGTGATCGGTCTGTCCTTTTTCTATTGTAATAGACACTTCTCTTGTCTTCTTCAGCTACGACTCTTACTTCTTAGGGGTTAAAATGTGAAACTGCATTCATATCAAATCAAGGAATATGTTTCATCCAATAATGGACCTGGATAAACAGTGAGTGTGAAAATTTTGGAGCTAAGTATGTTAGTTTTCCTATTGGAGAAACAGAAGAGGTCAAAGAAAAGAACTATAAATGTTGGAGGAGACTATAAAGAGAGACAATAGAAATAAATGAGTGGGGAAGAGTACTATAGAGATGAGATAATCATTAATTGAATATGGAATTTTCATTGCAGAGCGGCACATGCGATAATAATAGATTGAAATTGACAGAGAGAGAGATGAGTACCACACTTGTTTCGAAGCTGCAACTTGTGTGCCCCATTTGCTTCATTACAAAACCCATTTGTGTCTTATTGTAGTGTAGACTGTAGAGAGTATATGGAGACTATCGAAGTTGAAATTTTCAGATTTGGTGTACCTTTAAAAATTTTGCCATTACGACTACATCGATAGTCTTTTTATCTTTGGAAATGTTTTTGTCTTCTTCGATACTTCGGAACATGGCCGACCCTGAATACTGTCTCATGAAACATTTGCAACAGGTCCCAGTTTTATAGGTCCCTAAAAAATAAAAATCCAATAATATTATATATATAAAATTTTAATAATCATATAGAGTCCACTTTAAATTTGTTTCAAAAGATGTAGATAATTGTTTTTTTTTTGTGAAGAAACTTGTGTCTTATTAATACTTTGTATTTGAAATTATTGTTACAAGTTTGTTTCTGTTATTTTTTGTAATGTTGTATACTGGCCCTCGTTTTCTATTTTGGTTCAGGCCCCCGAAATTTCAGGGGCGACCCTGCTTCTGAATTTCGTTTGTTTTCTTTTGTTAGTATAGGATACTACCGATTAATTAACGATTATGTATTTGCGTACACTCTAGTACCCTACCACCACGAACGAGTTCACAGTGATCCCGTCCGTTATAACCATCTAAATGCAATATGAATGGTGTAGTGTCTACATTCATAAATTACCAAACGACTATTAAAAGCTCATAAACACTTGCATAAACAAAAATCTTATATTGACAATGATATTGAGGTTACTCATCTTCTTGGTCGAGCGTCCCTATGTGGGCATATTGACCGATCTCATTTTCCCATTTTTTAAAGACACCATCCCTATGTGGGCATCCCGGTAAGTGAACTTGTTTCACAAGAAAGCTATAATTTCACTTTGACTTCCATCAAAAAAATCATTGCCATTATTGCCGATTGATGACTATATATATGGTCTGAGAGTGCGTAGATTATTTGTATGTTGGTTCCTGTATGCACCTTCACAGTCTTACTTTCGAAGAGATGTTTATGATCTTCATCACGCCATTCTCTGGGAGTCTATCTCTACTACTAGCAGTGCCGGCCCTGAATATTTATAGACCGGAAGCAATTAATTAAAAAAAGGCCTATTGTTGTAGTTAGGAATCAAACCCATTACCTATATATATCTCTAACTTTCATTAACCATTGAACTACTTAATGTTTTATCAAATATTTTTGGCCAATATTTTACATAAAAAAAAAAGACCGGAAGCTTATGCTTCTATTGCTTCCCCTCAGGGCCGCTACTGACTACTAGTCATGCATAAGTGTATTATAAATTCATGTATTGAATTTTAAAACGAACTCAATACTTGTATATATCATTTATGGAAATGATTACTAATATTTGTACATTGTGTACAAGGTTTCGCATTCATGTCTTGTGACTAGAGTCACCACTGACTCCATCAAAGATGCAGTCGGTAGGCCACGACCTAACTTTTTTTATCAATCCATTTAATCAGTTTATCATGAGATTTTTTATACTTATTTTGTATAAATCTGGAAGAAATGCAGAAATTTGACCCTGAAACTAGGGATGTTGTGTGTCATGGAGTTAAAATGATAATTAAAGAAGGTTACAAGAGTTGTTTGACAAAAAAAAAAAAAGGTTACAAGAGTTTACCTAGTGGTCACACTTCGTGTAAGTCTTCTAAAACATTACTAACTAGTTTTTGTAGTGAGCTGTTTCAGGTCTAACGGAAGCTGGCGAATAACGGTACCGATATGCAGGATCATTCGCTGCTTCTTTTTCTTACCTTAATTTTTTTCCTTACGCATACGACGAAAATGGTGATAAACATTTTTTACCGTCATGTCACTGGCTTTCTTGAATTGAGATGTACGATTCAAGATTATAAAATTTTAATAGGATGGGCCCTACGTGCGTATTTTAGAATGTTGGCTGAGAAGAGTTGTCAAGCCACGACGATGACCAGGAGCGGTTCTCGAGGGATGTTGGATGAAGACGTCGAGCCTGGCTCCACCTAATTGCCGCACAATCGAGAAAGCACTGATTCTAAATTTTAAAATTCCCTGCGCATATGGGTTCGCATCCTAATTGCTGTATAGTATACTACTAATAGATACATCTATGTGGTTTTAAACTTATTTTCTGTATGCTGTAATTACTGATAATTTGTTCCTTCAACTAAAATGTAGGACATAATTGTTGTTACTCGTATTCATAAAGATTTTAGTTTGGTTAGCATTAGTTTTAGTGGTTCCCTAATTTCCTCTCTTGGATTCAGATCTCAACACTGACTCCGTATTAATTAAGTAAAGTGTGTCTTTTGTATATTTTTTTTTATCGATTACATGTGGTCAATCAGAGGTTCTATGTACGTATAATAAGCTTGGCCATGAAAACAAAGTTGAAATACATTTATTTTTTAAATGTTTGAAATTCACCAATTTCGGAAAAGGCAAATGAGGATAATGAACCTCATGAAGAGTCATAACGTTGTTCAATGTTCATGATGGTGGCAACTGGCAAATGTTAACCCCTATATTCAAGTTTCAACAGTTACGTCAACTTTTGAAGGAAAATTACTTTGGAAATCGAATGTGTAACGTCCGGTTGAAGTAAACCGGACACGGTCACCGAAGGTTTTCCACATGGGTTCGGTTTTGCATTTTCCCATAAGGTACAGATTCATCCGCCTTCTTCGGGACCCCATTCATCTGAACATTCTTTTCATTCATCTTTCTTTGACAATCAACAAAGTTTAAATTCCATTTTTCAAAAATTATTTAACAACCATGAAATTAAGATATGGTTCATTAAAATTTATTTTTCAACGAACAATTATGCTAATAATCGAGAATTTTGACATGAATTTGTTATTCTTTTCTACATCAACTTTCCGCAGACAAATTGCTGCCAACTGTAGTCTGTAATGTTGGAACTTGTAAAGGATGTAATGTTAAAGGGCACAAATTAATCGTTTTATATTAAACATTATATACCAAATTATATACTATACAGCTTTCTAAAAACACAATTATCGACACTACATTTTGATAAATAGGTATTAAGAAAAGTTTTATTATGAGCTTCAAATCTATAGCTTGTAACATTTTCTTTTATTTTGGTGATAAAATTTGTATAAAACATATAAAATCCTAATGAACAAACTTTAACTTGCAACTGATACATTTTTACTTCTTTTCCAAATTTAAGAGTCGATCAAATTATATAGCACAGCTGTAAATTATATATGTCGGTGGTATAAGCAAATTGTATTCTCTTACTAGATCTTGAAAAACTTATTTATTTACCAATTGCCGACAAAACTTAGAGATCTTCATATATTAAAACAGAGTCCAATCTTAAAACTTCAGAAAAACTTTAATTTAGATTCGAGCAACCAGCTTTGGAGGTACTTTTTGTTGCCATTACGATAATAAAATATTACGCTGGTACCAAAGTTAAACACATGGGATGTGATCGATCTAAGAGCATCATTATCGGGTACTCTTAGTGATGCTCTTAGTATTTAATTTAATTTTAAAAAAATTAAGAAAAGGAAGAAAGACGTAGAGACAACTCTTCCGTAAGAGCATTGAAGGGCACCTCTTAGCGCCACGCGTCACTCCTCATTTGACTGGCTGGTCGGTTTCGAAAATTAACGCTTTTGGACTCTCTCTCTTTCTCTCATTCTCTGTGTCTCTCGAAAACTCTCTTCTCTTCCAGGCGATTTGCCTTCCCCTTCGGTGGATCTTGTCGGCGGTGTCTCTCTCTCTGCTCGCTCTGTATCTCGGTCTCTCTCTCTCTCTCTCTCTCTCTCTCTCTCTCTCTCTCTCTCTCTCTCTCTCGCTCTGTATCAACTGAAATTGATAGGTAATTCAGTATTGTTTTCTTCTTGATTATGCATGTCTTAGCTCATGCATTTTCTTTGTCTGATCGGTTGTTTTGTGTGGTTTGTTGGTACTCTAATATATAAAGATGGAGAAAGAGGCATAGAGATTGAAGATTGTACGAGAGAAGCGAGAAAGTTTTTGGAGAGTGAGATACATATTCAAAATAACAAAAAAAAAACTATAGGTTTCTAATTACAGTTACAATCTATTTTTCTTATTTTATTTTCTAACTCATATATATTTGATTTTCTATTTTTTTTGTTATTATTTGCATTTAAATTTATTTTTTAAAGACAATTACATATTTGATTTTATTTTTATCAACCTTTATATCTGGTTATTATATTAAAAATGAACTATTAATTCGATTTGGAAAAGATTTAGCAGTATATAAAAGGGATCCGTTAACTAACTTATCCGTCGAATATGGAGACTCAACTTTCATCGTTATCGCAACTATCTTCAAATCTCACGTCAGCAGCCACAGTTCTCTCCACCACCATCGATGGATCTCCACGTGCCGTCACCATTGACACCGGAGGAAACATGGAGCCACTTGCGTCCGTTCCCGACGCAAAGCTACGCCTCATGTGCAGCTTCGGTGGCCACATCATGCCTCGTCCACATGACAAGGCCCTAACGTACTCTAGTGGCGAGACACGTCTCGTGGTCATTGACCGACGCGCTTCACTAGCCTCGCTACGTTCTCGCCTCTCTAGCATGCTCCTTAATGGTCGGTCGTTCACACTCAAGTACCAGCTCCCTAGCGAAGATCTTGACTCACTCGTCACCATCACTACCGATGAAGATCTTGAGAACATGATTGAGGAGTATGACCGTGCCACGTCGTCAGCTACGGCTACTGCCACGCAACGGATACGTTTGTTTCTTTTCGCGAATAAGCTGGAGACTGCTGCTACTATGGGGTCTCTTCTTGATAGTGCCAAGTCGGAGACATGGTTTGTTAACGCTTTGAACCAATCCGGTTTGCTTCCTCGTGGCTTGTCGGATTCGGCCGCGGTGAACAACACTTTGGTGAATCTTGACGAGGCGGGTGAAGGAGAGGCTGAGGTTCAGAAACTAGGAGTTGATGCGGGTTGCGTGAACAACAAGCAAGGAGGTTATATCATGAACGGTGTGATATCTCATCAGGAGATGCATATGAGCTCGATGCCTGACTCGCCTATGATGGAAGCAGCGGGTGGCTCTTCGATAGGGTCTTCATCTTCTTCTCCTTCCACTGCCTATTTGCCACCGATCCGCGTAAGAGTTAGTGAAGAGCAGAGGATGGAACAACAGTTTGCTCAAATGAGCTTCTCAAACGTGGATAGTCATCAGAGGAATGTGGAAGATGGTGGTGTTGGCTTGGTGGGAAATAGGCCAATGATGAACGATTCTGCTTTGGGGTATAGCAACACACCTGTTGATGGTGTTGCTGCCATAAGCAATGGACAGGTTGCACAAGATGACAATCGATCTGATCCAGGTGTAGTGACTGGATATAGGAAGCCACCTTTGCCGATGCAGCCAGTGGCGATCCCACAGCGAGGTGCTGGTGGGTATGGCTTGACATCTCCTGATTCTGTTGCAAGGTACTTTCTTCTTCTACTGCCTTTCTTCATTTATTAATTCAGATATATAGCTCAATGTGATTCCATGTTTAACTGATCTATAAATGTTTTATGAAATGAATCTCTCTTGTTATATTTAATAGATAAATGATTTAGGTAAATTCATATATGGAGTAGGCATACAACTTTGTTTCTCATTCATTTTCTTCAGTATGCCTTGAATCTGTGGTTGTCTTTGCACTGTTTTTTTATCTTGTGAACAGTAGGCTTAGTAAATAGTAGCTAAAGAAATAGATCACTGGTTTGGAAGTATGCTATATCCGGTAATTCAGAGCCTATTTGAAGTTGTCAATGCATAAGAATCTAATTTATTTATCTAGGGTTTTTATGGTTATAACATTTACTCCCTCCGTTTAACTTTAGTTGTCATTCTCGATTTTTGCACACAGATAAAAGAAACATTTAGTTTTACATATTTTCAAGATAAAAAAACAATTATCTATACACCTAACCATTTTTCAACCAATAGAAAATAGAATATTATATAAAACTAATAAATTTTGCCTCGAAAATCTAAAACTGACATTTATATTGTGACATAGAATGACAAATATTCTAAAACGGAGGGAGTATTAGTTTATGGATAGAGAGATTCATATAGTTGGTGTAGTTTTAGGTACAATGTCCAGATGTGTTGCCAGACTTTGATGGTGTAATTAATAATCATTTTTTGTTCTTTATAGATAAGATTTTTTTATATGTAAAACTACATCACACTTGTTTGATATGTTCTTTCATGTACACAGTGATACTAGCATTTCTTCTGCTACTTCATTTTCAAAGCCGGTGTACTACCAAGACCAAGCTCCAACTATGGTAAGAGCCCAGGTAACACAGCCTGAAATCGCTCCGGTCCAGACTAGCCACGGCATACCTCAGCATGAAGCCACTTCAGCCCAAACCACATCACACGTCCTATCTCAGCCAAATACATATACAACTATTGAGCAACAACACCAACTCCCGGTTCAACAACCTTTCTTACACCAAGGTGTTCAATACATCCCTCATCCATCACAATACATCCCGGTTTACCCTCATCAGCAGCAGCAAAACTACCCAGTTTACGTGATGTCTGTCCCGCAATCTCAGCAATATGTCCCAGCAGGAACTCCCCCGCTCTATCCAAACTCAACACCCGCCACAAACCCGAGACCTGAAGTAGCTCAAAACGTTTACCGTGCCCCTATGTCACAGAACCCTCAGGTTCAGCAACACCAACAACAACAACAGCCTCAACATCATTACATGGGTTACGCAGGAGGTTCTCAACACACGGCAAACGCTAATCCAAACTACAGTACTGGAGGGTACGAGTACACAAATCCGCCAAACGAGACAATATATTACCATGCACAACGTCTTCCTAACAATGCAATTCCGTTAGCGTCTCCGTACCAAAGCATGACACCAGCGGCTGCCGCAGCTGCTTTAGCTGATATGTCTAAGCAGATGAGTCTTGATAGTGAGAAAGACCAACAGCAACATATAGCTGCGTCTCAACCGCTTTAAGCATTGAGCAATTAGTCAATGCATGTATTGTGTTTTTTCTTTTTTTTTATTATAATTATTACGTATAACGTCGAGTTCCATCCCATGAAATATACATACATAGACTTTTCTTATATCGTTTTATCTAAGTTTTTAGTTATTGTTAATGTCCCTTCCCTTCTTTTTTTGTATGTTCAAAATAAGAACTGTTTGGATGATTTATCTAAGTATTTGACTGGGTGTTGGTATATGAGTTTAGATCGATGTTTAGATATGAGTTTAAAATTTTGGACGACCGTAAGTTGATTACTTTGGATTTTCTTCTTATTATTATTATGATCATCTTTTTATTAAAATTTTATTAAGATTAGAACTATCAGATCAATTTCTATTAAATTAGTTCATAATATTTTTCATATATTTTTAATTATAACTATATACTTCTGATTACCAAAAAAAAACTATATACTTCTTTTACTGTAACAAATTTTATAATTCTTCTTTAATCTATAATTTAGATAATTAATTAATTTGTAAAGATGCTAAGTATAATTATAAATATTACTTCTGTTACATTTTATTTTTTAAAATGAATTTATATAAATCTACTAAATTATTTAAATATTTCATAAGTACAATTATGTTTTAAAATAAATATAAGGTAAACTAAACCCTCGGTCTCTCTCAATTAAGTGTATCTACGTGTGACTAAGGCCTGAGCCTCTATTCATAATAAAGATTCAGCCAGTTTTAGAATATTTTTAAGATCAAAATCTATATTACTGAAAACTTTCTTATTTTGTCCTTTCTAAATATATCATATAATCCATGTAAATAGATGCCCTCAATATAGATAGTCCATGTTTACGAATAGCTACTGAAAAAGAAAAGTGTCCGAAGTTGATGAGATCGCAGAGAGGGTCCAAACTTGGACCAGTAGAGGATATTAAAAAAATACAAAATACATGATTTCTCGCCAGCTCTGCATCTTGTACACTAAATATCACCTTGTATACCCTTAATCCTTGGCCCGCAAGTTTTTCTTTACCGATAGATAACCTGATATTAACTGTCATAAAAATGTTTTATTTTTGGTGGATATCGGATCTTCCAAAAATAAGCTTTTAAGGAGTAATCGTGGATCTGCACACCGACAACGACTTTTCTATGTCTGGATATTCCTTTTCCTCATAATAGATTGATTAACCATATATTTTATATTATTACGAAATGCTATTCATCTTGATCAACCATCCAAAACCTACTTAGTGGTATACTTTTTTATAATCTTTACATTCCCCGGTTTCACCAATGATCGAATTACCTAAGAACTCCATATGCATGACGTTGAATTGATGAGAGACTTCACTATGAGATTTAGGTAGATATTTTGTTGATTACTGTTTGCTGGTCTCTCGTGAGTGGTTGAGAACCAAGGATCATTCCATACTAAGATAGAAGATTCTAATATTATCCTTTTGATTAGTCATTTGCTAACTAAAGATCTAATAGATACAATATTGCGATATCCGTATGACGAAGAGTATGAACGAATCGGTTTCATAGGTAAAATATTCTTGAAACCGTTTTTTGAAAACTCGAAAAAATAAAATGTTAGACTTCTCAAATATTAACTAAAGTTTGACCTGCACGTCCGCACATGTATTTTTTATCAGAAAACTTATAAAAAATCATGCAGTGATGTGTTATACAACCTCTTGAAACTGTTTTCGAATTGCAGCAAAACCGAGTTACCGTCCAAGCATTCTCCATGGTTTGTACTATGTTGTCTGAATTGACTTTCCAAGCCAATGGGAGAAGTCAGCACAATGCATAAAAGTTGTTAACTTTGGATCATCTTTCTTTAGAAACATTTCTTCGTTGCTTTTATGCTTACCTATGTGTTGTAAAACTCAATTAACACACTTATTGCATTTTAACACATGTTCTCACATCAAAGTAAGCAACAACAACAAAATTTTGAGAGTCTGAAATTGGAATCCTTGAAGAGTTGAGGTTCCAATTGTTGTAGTTATTTTATAGTTATTTAAAAAAAAATCTAATTGTTGTATGTTGGAAAAACAAAACTAATCTCATCCCTTATACATTATTTGTGTAATGATTTTGACATGTGTCGTCACCACAATCAATTCCACTAAAACTGATTACATCTCCACTAATAATGATGACATGGACATTTACATTGAATGTTACTAATTACTATATATGTTTTATAAGTTTTTAGAAATATGGTAGTAACTTACATATTATCATTAATATAAAAATGAATAATATAATGGTAGAAAAAGAAAATATTGATATTTACAATTTTTGAAATATTTAAAGTCTATTTTTATAGTTATATAATTTTATTAATTAAAATTCTTTAAAATATTATGTGGCTTTTGTTAAAAATATATAATTTTCTAATCCCAATACCGTTAGTTTATTTATAACATCTATAAAATTTTAGAAATATTATTCAATTTTATATTTTAATAATTATATACATAACAAAGTTTTCTCTTAATTATATAGAATATGATTTAGCATATCTTAATCAAAAGATAAAGATAAAAATATATTTCTAAGATTTTAATCTTAAATATACATATATATTATTAACTATAAATTTAAATAATTTTTGTTTTCTTTTATCTTAATTTTTACATAGAATTAACGTAAAATTGATAGGGTAACAAACAATAAATTTAAAATTTAAGTAAATCATATTTTTCACTAAAATTTTATTTTTAAAACTCTTATTTCTGCATATGGTGCATGAAAACACCTATTTTTTAATGAAAATATACAATTTTCAACATTAAATTGTTATTAATAGATATAGATTTTTGGGTGGAGATTGTCACTAAATAGAAATAAATTACACATTAATAAATATTAAAAACTATTAAACCAGAAAATCCTCATTAAGATCTTAACCAAGATTTCGACTCAAATCTTGGCCAATGCAAATGGATTAGATCTTCACATTTGTTTGATTCCTCTATAAGAAGGCGTTTGAAGTGTTGCGACATTTCATTATTACAAGCTAGTAGTGTATTAACTAAGTAAATACACCCATCTCCATCCTCCTCGTATTTATACTCTCTTTGCAAGCAAAGTTATTTGCTAAATTGTAATTAGTTTTTGTGTGTTTTTAGTTAATATGAATAACTGTGGAAACCCATTCAAGGCTTTGTTTCCAAAGAAGAACAACGCACATCTTCTCTCTCTACTGAACGACTTTGAGACAAGTTTAACGGTATCAATTGCACAACTTGTACCAAAGGATAATGATGAGAACGGTTTTCTCACTTTTTCTTGGATGGTTCATGCAATTCACTCTCTTTGTGAGACGCACCAGAGTATCACGACACTCGTTACCGATCTAGACGTTCATGTATCCGACATGGAAGAAAGTATGATTTATATGCACGGTGACATCAGTGTTAAGCTGCGTCAACTCTGCACCGCCTTCAACTCAGAGCTGTGCCGGCTTAACCACAGAAACCTTTTACTCAAGATTGCTTGTCGTAAGCCTGAGGCTTTTTCTTTATCGCAGCTCGACGGTTGGAGGCAGCATATGGCTTCCAAGAACCCGAGAATCGAAATCTGCGGTGAGGTTTTGAGTAGTCTTGTTGAATCCATGAATCATCATCATAGCCTCTACAAGAAGGTGAAGAAGACGAAAGAAAATGAAAAAGAAAAGGTTCTCCTGCGAGCTCTATATGGTGCACAGGTCGAGACTTTATACATATTCAGCGTGTTTTATGCAGCGTTTACTGGTTCTTCCAAGAATCTCTTGTATTTAATCATTCCAAAGGATATGGAGGAGGTTCCTTGGGGCCAAAATAGATTCATGGTTATAAAAGATCTTGAGGCTGTTGAATCTGGTGCGGAAAATTTTTGCACAGCAGTCCAAGAAGGGTTAGTTCCTAATTTGTTGATGGTGGAGCCATTGAAGAAATCGGTGATGGAACTTTCAGAAAGGGTTGATCGTGTCTCCAAGGAAATGAGTTGCTTGTCTGATGTGGTGAGCTCTGCTCGAGATACATTGTTCAAGAGGCTCATGACCAAATTCGAAGATAATAAAAAAAACACAATTTCATAGTTTATAAATGAAGACTAATCACATTTAAACAAGACATATCAATATCAATCATAAATAACATATAAATCTATAATGTAAAAACATAAACAATTAAATTTATCGCCTTTTCAAAAATTAAATATATGATTATAAAAACAAACACCCGCAGATCAAAACCTAGTTTACATAATAGTTGAAACTAATTAAATTATTAATAAAATAATACATGTGTTCAATAAATCTTTTGTCAAAAACTTATCACTTTAATTGGTTTAACATCCAAAGGCAAACACAGTATGAACAACAACACACACGCCCGTAACTGAACGACATTAGTATGAAGATTTCACTTCTTGGGAATCAACTCGATGACCCAAAACCCCAAATCGCCGATCCACTATGAGAGGAGGGAGCTCTCTTAAGAAATGCATCTCTCTCTCTATGCTCGCACATTTCTTCTTCCTCCTAGGATCATCGTATATTAGAGATAATATATCTCACATCAAAAATTCAGTGGGATCTTAAGTAATATATAAAAGGCTAGGATCAATCCATTAATCACCAATGGTTTTAAGTTCATAATAAACTCGAATCTAACATGGTATCAGAGTAAAGATCCTAAAAAACCTAAATCCCTAATTAACTAATTAACAAGTTATGTTTAACCTTCAGATTAGGTATAATTGTCATACTTAGTTTCCTCGACCGAGTATAAATATCTTACCGTTCCTAGATTTCTGGTCGATTATAACCATCATCTTGAGGAAAGTCATTAGGGATAATATATCCCACATCATGAATTGAGTGGAACACCTTGAATAATATATAAAAGGTTAGGAATAATCCAATAATCACCAATTTATTTTAAGTTGGAAGCTCATAATAAACCTCAATCTAACATCCTCAAAGCTAAAGGTTTGGAAACTTGATAATTATTATTACTTGTAACAGAGTATATATACATCGATGTAGTTAGGGTATTAGAGACAGATATTTACATAACATGACCTTATTAACTTCTCTATTCTATACGCCCCCTCAAGATGGAGGAGCCTTTGCAACTCCAATCTTGTAACAAGCATCTTGAAATGGTATGCGCGGGAGAGGCTTCGTTAGAGCATCAGCAAGTTGATCTTTAGTGGGCACATGAGAGACACGTAGTTGACCAGCCTGTATTTGTTCTCGTATGAAATGATAATCCAAGGCCACATGTTTCATTCTTGAGTGAAACACCGGGTTCGCGCAGAGGTACGTTGCTCCAATATTATCACAATAAATCACTGGCATCTGCGGTATATTTATCCCAAGATCTGATAGCAGAGAACATACCCACCGAACCTCTGAAGCTGTGTTTGCTACTGATCTATATTCCGCTTCTGTTGATGATCGAGAGACCCCCTTTTGTTTCCTTGAAGTCCATCAAATGGGATGGCTGCCCAGGTATATCAGATACGCATTTGTTGACACGAAATCATCCGTGTCCCCAGCCCAATCGGCATCAGAAAACGCATGGATGGATAAAGGATTTTGTCGACGTAGAAGAATACCGTGCGTAGAGGTGCCTGCAAGGTATCGCAAGATCCTTTTTGCTGCTCCCCAGTGCTCATCCGTTGGTTTATGCATAAATTGAGATAACTTGTTTACTGCATATGATAGGTCTGGCCGGGTTAAAGATAGGTATTGAAGGCTTCCAATGACAGCCCTATATGTTGTGGGATCTTTCAATGGTACGCCTGAGAAGAGACTTAGCTTCGGGGAGGTTGGTAACGGTGTCGTCACCGGTTTTGCGTCTAGCATATTTGTCTTCATGAGAAGGTCGAGTATGTATTTTCTCTGCATTAGGTGAAGTCCTTCTTTAGTTCTTGTGACCTCAATGCCGAGAAAGTAATGTAAATTCCCCAAATCCTTGATGGAAACTTGATAATTATTATTACTTGTAACAGAGTATATATACATCGATGTAGTTAGGGTATTAGAGACAGATATTTACATAACAGGACCTTATTAACTTCTCTATTCTATAAAAGCTAGAGAATGTAAGCAACAAAGGTTAATCACTTTATCACCGATTCAAGATTTGGAATTTCAATTGATTATTCCATGAAATTGATTCAAGGTATTGGTTTGTGGTTTCAGAGCTTAAAAAAAGCAAAATATAGAGAAGTTCTTCAACGAGGGAAAACGCTTTACCTGGAGTTATCCAAAAATGAAGACTTAGCTACCTCAGTATCTTGCTTTTGAGTGGTTTAAGAACTTCAGAGACTAAGCTGATTGATTAACAAAGCTAATGTGTGTTTCCATCACTCTCTAATGGGACAGAGCATTTGAAGTCATAGTAGGAGAACTAATTATTGTTGGACTTTTTAAGACTAATATGGTACTTTTGTTGATTCCTTGCTTCTCGGGTCAGCAAGGAAGTTTTAGAAAGCATGTTGGTTTTTGTTCCTTTCTGTGATACATTTTACAAGAACGACAGGGAAATAATCTGACAGTAGTTCCTATTCAGATGACTTTAAGAGAAAAAAAGTTGAAGCAAAGTTTAATGAGCTCGGGGACATGTGTGAAAGTGGTTAAATCTAGCCCGAAGCATGCAGCTTATGAGTTTTTTAAAAGAATTCGAAGATAAAATGGTAATTACAAAATGGGGATCAGATGGAAACTGGAATCTGAAGAACCTCAAAGCATCAGGCTGGAAGGCTACGTGAACTTGTGGGGGAAAAGATACAATTCAGGTATCACCAGTGAGAGGTAATGTATCTATTTTAAACTTTATTAAAAATCTTTTCGTTACAAAGAAAATAATGAAACAAAGACTCCAAGCCAATCCAACTTTTTTGCAGAAACTACAAGCCAAGATCATGAGGTTTGAAGAATCTAATTCCATCAACGCTTGAAGAAAATTTTCTAGGTTCGTGCTTTTGTTTTGATTTCTTTTATGGATTATGAATCTCTCCCCTGAAATTGGGGATTCAAAATGGGATTTGGATCGTTTTACCGGTTTAGAAATAAAGTAATTACAGAAATAAAGATAGTACCAGTTTCTTTCGTGTTCTTAATATTTAGCAACAAATTAATATTATATGTATTAATACTTCAAATCGAAATGCATGAAATAGTATTATATTCTGTAGTAATACGATTTATTTATACAATCTATTCTTATGTTTATGTAAAAGCAACCAAGGAGTTGTATAACACAATAAAACGAAAACCATCATAATATGAGAAAACTAATCGACTATTATTTCTTTTTCCACGATGAAGATGAAGGAACTCTTAACCTCCACAACCACCGCCGCAACCGGCTCCGCCACAGCCTCCGGCGGCGGTCGTGTTACGAGAAGTGCCTCTGTCGTCAGAGGCTCCATCGGCGCAAAAGAGTAATAGAGCCGAGAGGACACAACAGCCGAATAGAGCCAAGAACACAAGATGAAAAAGGTTACTAACATCGAAGTGTGTTGTTGTCGCCATGCTCATTACATCTTCTAAATGTCTAGCCATCTCTCTCTAACTAAGATATGTTTTAATGTGGATGAGATTGAGTTATTTAACGTGAATGGCTTTCCTACTTATAGTTGATAAATTCGTACGTTTATATCATTGACTTTTTCATAAATTTTTTGGTTTGACTATAATAGATTTCTAAGAATATGTGTTGTTTATATAAATTAAAAAGACTTCTAAACAAAATAATCATAAAAGTCATCTATCTTAATACTATTACTATTGTCCAAACAAAAAGTCATCTATGGTCTAAACACGATTAACTGTGGAATTTTGATGTTTTAATGGGATTCAGTGTACTAATGTTGGCCTAATTACACACGCTTTCTTATAATTTGTAAGATAAAATTATATATATTCTTTGGAATAATTTAAAACTTGTAGTTCAAGATTAGTAGGGTTATTTAAAATCTTATAGGTCAGGAAAGAATACTGTCTTTAGGAAATTTCTGGCTGGTCAATTTATATTAGATAACGTACGTACTTCTACTTAAGTTTTTTCGAGGAAATTCGGCTGTATTATGTTGACTATGCTAAATTATGGTGAGAATAGTCAAAGCCCATACTAAAATGTATGAACACCTTGATTTGCATTGTGATTGGTTGAAATATTTGTTTCAGAGGTCAAGATTTGACTGGTCGTTCAATTAACTTTGTTAAATTCAAATAATGTGAAAATATCTGCAGTGTTTAAATGCTTTATTTATCACTTTACACTTTAGGGAGTATTTGAAGGGATTTTATTAAATAGTGGTATACAAAAGAAGAATGACGTGTTACACATGAAAAGCCATAACTCTCTCTAGTCTATTTCACGTGAGTTCTTATTCATTGTTTGTGCAAATTTAACTATACATATGAAAGTTCAAATCAAAGATTTTTGACGGAAAGCCTAATGTTTGGTCTTCTCCTTTTTCATTTGGAATCTTCTTATTCTCCACTAACAAAATTTAGCTCATAAATATATATACATACATTCATATATATATATATATATATGTGCATATTGATACCGGCTTTTGTTCACGTTATTTTGTTGATTTATGACTATAGTTGCAGTAGAACTGGATCAAATCTGAATATTGAAATGGTGAAGTAGATGACAGAAAAAAAAAAGAAATGGTAAAGTACTAGTGAACACTGATTTACTTCTAAACTCAGGTCATAATCTGAGACTTTTAACTACTGAACTCGAGGAATTTAAGTTTACAAAAAAAACTCGAGGAATTTTAACGTATGAGAGGTTGAAAGATGCAAGAAAGTAATTAACTAGTACAAGTTATAATAACTCAACTTTTGGACCAAAACTAATAAATATACCATAGATGAGATTTTAATTAATTAAGTTGGGTATTCTAATTTCAGCCTAAGGATATGTTGATTGTCATTTGATTTCATTTGATGATTTGCTCTGAATTCCATGTTGTAAGAAAACACAAAACCATGACACTTTCATTTATTTGAACTAAGGATTCAATTTTCTGTTTAGTATAATTATTACAGACATCATTAACTCATATGCATATAAATATCGATTATACATAGACGAGTAAAACCATGAAGAAATTATGCATGTTTCTTGCTTTTAGCAGTTCCTCTAGGGATTTTGCTAAGAACATTCGAGTCGACTTTCCTGTACAGTTTTCTCATCTTTCTCATCAACTTACCCACAACTCTATCCACGTCATTCTCGTACATCTCGTACATAACCGGCAATGTTTGCATGCTTACAAACCCTAAACGGCATGACGTCCATCAATTAATCCTCTGTTAAATAATCAATAGTTAAACTTACATAGTCTAATAAGTATACTTCTTACCTACGAACAGAAGATTCATAAAGTTGATACATGTCCCGATGACGGATAGGATGTAAAGTGAGATTGTTGTCTGAAAAAAGTTGAAAAATAATAGTAATTATAGTTTACATATAATCGAAACTATATTGAAGTGACTATATCAATATCTTACGAGAAAAAAGAGTGGAGGATCTCTTCCACAAGCAACATCAAGAAGCTTGGAGAGGATTTGGTTGAATCTAACATGAAAGCTTGTTGCTAATTCCTTGAAAGAAGATTCGTCTAGTACCACTTCAGGTATGATTGGCCTTTCCCTGCATATTGATTAGTTAAAATCCCGGAAACTGTATATTTCTTTGACCAAATCAAGATATCGAAAAGATTAATCAAAGATATATTACCAATTGAGAAAATCAGAAGCAGTGGACCAAATGAAGAAAAGAAGCATGGAGGTCATGGAAGCATGACAAACTAGGGTTATGAAATTGTATTCCACTACTTCCATTAAGAACCATAAGAGACTAACTCCTATCACCAATGTTGCAGCTATTTTCGGCTCTCTCCATAACAAAATATCCGCAACTGTCAATCACAAATATAAAAATTTCAAATTTCGTGTCTACAATATCATTTGTAGAAATCATGAAGATTCTTCTACTATATACACTGAGAATTGATATAGATATAAAACATGTACTTATTTTCACGTATACATAATACTCATAATTTAGCGGATATAAAATTATAGAAATGAAAAAAATAAATACCTGTGCCTCCTCCCAATATAGAGTGAATTGATCGTTGGCGATTGAAGAGCTTAGTTTGTTGATGCATCATTCTTTCGTCTTCGGAATCAGATCCCCCAAAGATTGGCATGATGTGGATGCTTACGAATTAAATGGAAAGAGTAGTTAACTTTAACGTGCTGATTCTGTAAATTTGTTGGAAATATAAGAAGAGGTAGACAGACTAGAGAGGTTCTAGGCTTGGGAACAAAGTTAACACATTTTCATGAAGCAAGGAATAAGTAATGGTTTTGTCCTTAATCATTCTCCGATTTGTTTCTTCATATACACGTTTGGATAAACAATTCAAACTCCTAAATGAGAATTACGTACAAGTGATGTTTTATATGGCAAAGAGTGTTGAATCCTAAATTAGTATAAGGTAAGATGTTTAGGATGGTATATTCTTCTCCTTTTGCCTAATTCAACTTCCAGAACTGCCGTGAATATAAAGACTCATGGACTTGGGTCACTCCACGTCTTATGGCTGGTGAGTGGTGATCCCGTTCACGGTGGCTCAATAAATGTATACGTATTTCTGGTAATGGTCCAATTGAAAGATTATCTATTTTGATTTTTTACGGAGAATATGTTAGCAACTGATAAATCTAAAAAAAGTTCTTTAATCTTGTATCGGTAAAATCTAATTTTGTGTTTTCTAAAACTAACCAGGATAACCTAAAAGAAAACAAACTATTCTTCGAAAAAAAACAAATAACTTTTTAAAGTATATTATTCATCTGTAATCTCGTGCATTAAGATAATTGGATTTTACAAGTTATTTTTTCCTATAGGAGGAGCAATAATAACAACGCAATTGTAATACTACTCACTAGGCGTGAGAATCATAAAGTTCATATCATGATCGATGCTTTCGACCCACTTACTATTATTTCATTTACCTTTTTAATACCAGTGTTTTTAGCCTTGTTTCTCAAATAAATGAAATTTGGTAGATAAATTCCATTTCCATTTTAAAGTGTTTGAATAAGCATAAATATATGGTCCGGGTTGGCTGGAACAGATGATAAAATCTCAGAAGTTGTCTACGAACACGATGGTGTTAACCTATCCATTGAACAAGAACCAATGTCTTCATTAACATCTGGTGCCCAGAGCATCGTTTCATCTCTCTTGCCTAATCTATGAAGTTTCGAGTTCGTTGTAGCCGCTATTATGGTCTCTTTTTGTTTTTAAGTTTCTAATTCATGTAAACAAAAAAAAGTTTCTTCATGTATTCCTAAACTTTTTGCCTATTAAGGCTCAATGAATATCTTCAGCACGAAATATATATGGGATTTGACGTCAAAATTAACAATAATAATGGTTAATAATGAAATAACAACATCAAACTTCAAAGTAGAAGACACATGTTTGCATGAGCTACAACTTCAACAACCAACGTGTGAACATATTTTTAGTGACCATTTACACACCAAACATTCCATTTTCTCCTTCCACAAGTGTTTCTGGATTATGATATATGAGCTCTTATTTACATACGTCATTTTTATATCTACTGTAAACAAATTAAATCTGAGTATTAGTACTAAGCAAACCGATCAACCGTTTGATAAACACATTCCAATCTTTGCTTCTTCTCTTTTCATGCTACATTAAATAAATTCCAACAATGTTAAACTTTAAGTCTACAAAATCTACTAACCAAAGAATATGAAACAACTAAACTTTCCATTACAATGCTACACTAAAGAGAACAGGACATGTTCATTAATTTACTGCACTTGCGCCAAAAGACGAATAAATGAGTGATTGTGGCAATGATTATTCACTCGTATCCCCAAACGCACGCTTCTTCTCAAATCATCATTTTTCACATAGACATTTTTTTTCACATAGACAAGTTAATTGACTGTTGTTGTTGTTAACATATTGAATTGATTATGTTTATATACATATACGAATGCATTTTACCTTATATTTTTATCAGTGTGTGAGATTAATAGAAGTAATAATGACGTTAAAGGAGACGGCATCAAATATTGGGACGACACAAGTACTATCACCGAAAGTCTCTTCGCTTCCTGTCATCACACTTCGAACCCGCCTTTTTTGTATTTACTAGTATATGTTTTGATAACGAAAATACTGATACATTTAGTCTAATCAGTCACTTGTTTTTCCTTTGGTCGATAATCAATATATAGAGATAAAGTTAGTGATATATAGTTCGAAATTTTATTTGTGTTTGATTTTATGATTTATAAGTTTCTTCCACTTAAGAAATGAAAAAGTGTTTGATTTTATGATTTATTAGTTTCTTCCACTTAAGAAATGAAAAAAAACGGATAGATAACTGACGCACAAATACAACGAATAAAAGTCTTAAAACACAAAACAAAAAAGATTGTACATTCGCATTATTTGAACACTTATTCCCAATTTTAGCCATCACTATTTATTGTTTTATGTTTTGCTTAAGTCGGATGAATCGCGAGAGTTCTTAGTACACAAACCTCGAGCGTAATAATATGAAGTTTTTGATCAACCATTTGACAATATATAATCTTATATGTATTAGGTATTAGGTTACAAATTATGTTACAAAAAAAAACTTATGTATTAGGTTACAAATTATGGTATCCCATTGCTAATTAACTAAAATGATAAGACGCCGCACTATAAGCAAGTGCACTATAAATAGTCCTATATGTTTGAAAATTATATTCAATCCATGTTTCTTAATTTCAAATTAGAAAATACAATAATAAAGTAGAACAGTGTAACAAAAAGAAGCCTTTCACTTTCCTCCTCTATAAATAGAAAACAGATGCACATATCAAAAACCACACAAACTTCCATAAAGTCTCTCTCGAACCAAAGAGAAGAAGAAGAAGAAGATACATGGTGACAATCAAGGCCACATGGGTTTCCCTTTTCACTCTCGCGGTGATTCTCCTTATGATCCTAGTCCCGGTGGCAGAAGCAGTGACATGCTCTCCAATGCAGCTAAGCCCATGTGCGTCGGCAATAACGTCTTCTTCTCAACCTTCAGCGTTGTGCTGCGCGAAGCTGAAGGAGCAGAAGCCATGCCTATGTGGGTACATGAGAAACCCTAGCCTCCGTCGCTTCGTCAGCTCTCCCAACGCTCGTAAAGTCTCCAACCGCTGCAAGCTCCCCATACCAAGGTGTTGAAAGAAAAAGCGTTTGCTATTTATGATCATCCTATATATGTTTGAATCCTACTTTTGTTGTGTGTTAAGGATGTTAATAAGGAATTAGTTATTAAAGTAAGTGTTACCCTTAATATTGTGTGATGATGCTTGTATGCATCTTATTTCAACTTTTGTTTGCTGTCTTATTTTGCTGTGCTATATAAGTATATGATGGTGTAATCAATGAGACAATATAATATAAAAAGTATATTTCATAAATACAGAAGAATCATTGTACAAGAACAAATCAGCTTGATCATCACAGCTCACAGATCAAGAGTATCTTGAATCAAAATAAGACAGCAAGGTTGTTATTCTAGCTGATAATGAGTTATTTATTTGTAGGAGATAGTTTTGAGTTGGTAACAGGGATCCTTCTTTCTGTTGTCAACAGGGATCCACTTTACTAAACGCATAAGCTCTCTGAAGGATAAAGTTTTGTACTATGGCATGTTTTGGTTGTTAAAAAATAAATGGGCCTACTGAATAATAAGTCCAATGAATGACCCATTAATGGTGTATGCCATATTGTTTTGTATTTCTCTTTATTTAAGTCCAATGAATGACCCATTAATGGTGTATGCCATATTGTTTTGTATTTCTCTTTATTTAGAACAAAACTAGATCCTAAATTTAAATCCTATACCATAAATCTAAATCTTTCACCTCAAATTTAAAGTCAAACTATAAATCCTAAATCTAAATCTTATATCCTAATTATTTAGATTAATGTTGATATTGTTCCTTTAAAATTTAAGGTTTGAATTTTAAAATGTATGGTTTGGATTCATGATTTATGGTCTAGAACTTAGATTTAGACTCTAGGATTTAAATTTAAGGTCTAAAATTTGAGTTTAAAATTTAGGGTCTAAAGTTTAAAGTTTAGAATTTAAGGTTTAGGGTTTGGGGTTTAAGATATAGAGTTTAAGTTTAGGATCTACAGTTTAGGTTTTAAAATATATGGTTTAGATTTAGGATATAGAATTCGGATTTAGAATCTATATTTGGGTTAGGGTATAGTGTTTGAATTTAGGCTATAAATTTTTGGTTTGGAGTTATGGTTTAGATTTAGAGTTTAGTTAACGATGTTAGTGTTTTATTTTTATTCTTTTTAGCTATTTTAGTTTTTAAAAAATATATTTAATAATTTTTATTCATTAATCTATGTAATACAATAAATGATTGTTAGAGGTGAAGGGGTAAACCTAAGTTTTGTTCCTCTGTTAATTAATTTTCTTGAAGATGTCTAGAAAATGTTTTGCTAACGATGAAGTCAGATATTCAAGTATATGAAGGTATATCTATGTGTTTCGCTAAAGATTGTACATATGTGATATGTGCGTTGTTCATTGTCATTGGCATTGTCATTGTCGTATCTAAACTTAACACCGAGCTCTATAATTTATTTGAACTTAAAATATACCTCATCGTGAGTAAAACTAATACCTTAATCAAAGATAAAGGAGACACGATTTCGACTTTATCCTCTCAGACGTATATTATATAGTGTTCATACGTTTGACATTTAGCAGCAAACTTAAACATCAACTTTGTTTTATATTTGTTTTAGTTCATAGAAGTTTAAACTTTCATTTTAGCTCGACCTAACTATATCACACCTTTAAAAAGAATACCATGCTGGCTCTCTACATATCCAAAACCTGCAAATATTTCTTCTCATCTTTTCCCCAACCGATATTCCCTCACTATAGTCCTTTCTAATTTTTCAATATTTTTCAAATTATGTTCTTTTACAAGGTATATTCTTTAGAAATAGTTCAGAAAAAGGTATATTCTTTAGCGTAGACCCAAAAAATCATGATTTTTTCGTAAGCAATGTAATTTAATCAAAAATTAAAATAAATGTAAGTTATGACTAAAAAGGAAACATCAGTACGCAATAATCAAAAATTAACGTACATGAGATTTGATTGAATCTCTCGTTATCATGGACCTATTAAGATTATGTCGTTTTTTTAACTGAAGTTTTGTCGTTTTCAACAATGCTGAATCTTATATATTAAAACAGAAGTCATGACTTGACTTCATTTATGATTTTTTTAAAATGGACTGTTACTAGAAAGTTATGTTACATTAACTTTTTAATAATCTTATTATTATTATATCTTATGAAAAATCATATCTATAATAACAAAGATACACTTAATAATTTGGTTTTGGTAAATTATCCCACACCTTTCAACTTAGTCACGCAAAATATGTCAATAGATATAAGTTTAGAAATCTTCTATTATTTATAAGGAAATATATCAATAATAGTTAAATGCATCCACAATATATTAACAAAAATCACAGATTAGTAATATGGAATATTTATGTATCCTAACAAAATTTACATGTTATATATATTAGATAAATTTATTTCGATGTAGATTTTTAAAATAATATTGTATTAAAAAAAAAGAAATTGTTTAAAAACTCCTTTTTAATAAATTTTTTTATAATATTAATTTATGAAGCTATAAGTTTAGTTTTTAACAAAAATTTCTTCGAAGTTTATATAATCTTTGCAAATTGAAGTATACTAATATTTAATCAAGCTATATTTATATTATTTTATCTAAAAATGAAATACTAATCTAACAAACAATAAAATATAGAAGAAGAAACAAACACATGTTTGAAAAATATGTATAATATAAAAAAATTGAAACAATCTATTTGATTAAATCACTTATTACATAATATTATTATGTTTGAAAAACATTTACTATACATATCGTAAATATGTGATTACTATAATATATACCAATTTACAAGTGAAAACAAAATGTTTATATAACTAACTATAAACGAAAACAAACACCCGCGCGGTTGCGCGGTTCAAAATCTAGTATAAAGTTGAAGTTGAAATGCTTTGAACAGGTTCTTATTTTTATTTATTTTCTCATAAAAAGAAAGAAAATCGTTTACGCATCTGATATTTATAATGTACGGACATCATAAACAGTCGACACAGTTAGTATAGAGCCATATCTATTCGTAACAAAATGAATCTTACAATTTGAATTTACGGTAACACGGCACTGAACGTTTATGATGTCATTCCAATATACTGAAACATGGAATCTGCGTTTCTTTTGTTTTGTATTTTTATTACAAGAAGAATATTGGAACTATGCATGAAGATGGATGGACGTTGGTAGTCTTCTGGATTAGTTAGATGGGGTCAACTTAACCATTTGTTAACTATTTAATTATAAAATTAAACTATTTCTTAAGTGAGCTACGTGCAAAATTAAATTCTAGTTTTGTGCATACGTTGCTGTAGTGCACTGCGTCATACATGTTGACTTATGCAGCATATCTATCATTAAGGCTGAGAAAACTCGACATGTTTTAATTTGTGCTATGTTGCATTCTAGTTGAGACTTTCAATTTAACTGAAGGTTAATTGTGTGCTGAGAAAATTTTACATTTCTAACTAGATGGACAAGCAATGACTATCACTTTTAAGTTCTCGTAGTCTTGCGGAAGGATACATAGCCGAGCTAATACTTAATATTTTGCCGGCTGGAAGGATAGTGTGATTGTTTTCTCTAAATCCAGGTTCAACTCCAGAAAAAAATGTTTTTTTCATTACAAAAATAAGATTATTATCACTTTTTACTGATGATTGACGCATGACAAAAATACACTGGTGTAAATGATATTAAAAATTGTATTTGAGAAACTATGTAAAACATCCATAATTTTACAACCCTAGAGTTTGGTACAACTATAGAATGATAATAAATTAATTAGATGTTGAAATTTTTTTTTATTAGATTTAATACTGTATGTGAAATTACAAATCATCAAACAATATCAAACGTGCATTACTTAAATCCGTTGCAAATTAGGATAAATACTCGTACTAAACTGTATAAATTTTTCAACAACATATATGTAATTCAAACCCCAATACATATTGCATATGTTCGAATTCTGGTATATCACTTATAAAATAATTAATTTATTGATTTTGTATTTTAAAATGCAGATTCAGTCCATAATACAAGTAACTGAAATCATCTATTCAGACCTCAAGTATAATAAACAGCATAGGAATATGAATCTATTTTCTAATCTTCATCTATTTTCTAATCTTCAGTAGGGCTTCCCGGCATTGGATCCTATGACCATGATTAATCCAGACTTTTAGAGCACCATCAACGTCCGTATTTAGCTGGATTTTTAGAGAAAAAGTGAGCTGTGGGTCCCAGAAGAAAGTGAGATACGTTTGTTTCTGACGCAAAATTGGATACGGGTTGTACACTGTTAGCGGGTCCCACTGTCACGTGATGACCCGCGATGATGTCTTTTAATTTTTTTTAATCAGAAAAAAAGTAAAAAAAAATATTAAAAAAAATTTGAAAAAATATATAGAAATTTTTTTTAAAAAAATATGTCAAGATAGTTAAAAACTTCAAATTAAGAATCCAAGTTAATCATGTTCTAAGAAGCTTTAGATAAGATACATCTGCAGTGATTTTTGTGTGGATTGTTGTTACTGGCATGCGTCATGAGATGGTCTTCACATTACATGAAATGTCTTGTCTTTGTTAGTGCAATCTGAGTATTAAAAACTATTTGCCCAAATTTCATTTTTAGAATATTGTGTATAGGTGTGCAAGGGAAGCAAAATACAAAGGGATATTACAGAAACTTGATTTGTATATATCTGTACGTAAACAAGAGACATTGTCCTTTTCAAATAGACATTATCCATCTCATAAAAAGGACAATGTCTCTTGTTTACGTGTGTTTTTCTTTTGAATATATCCTTGACACATCGCACAGAAACAAAAACAAAAAAGAGTAAGGAACAAAGATAAATAGCCCTTTGAGGATACTGAGTGATGGATCATAAATGAATATGTAATTTCTCTTACATTTTAATAACTACTATAATTTCATTGAAAACATTCCTCACCACCGACTCCAGACTTCGGCGAATGGATTCCCACAGTTGATGAC